GTTCATTCATATCTGGCGTGCGTTTCCCACGTAATAATTGCAAAATCTACGATCCACGTATAAAACAGGCGCATCTACATAGCCGCGGATGTGTGGTTGATAATTTCTAGGTTAGGTTAGGAATAAAATACATGCCAAATTTGTGGCTGCCATTAGCAAGTATAATTTACATAAGAAATTACTATGAACTCATCATAATAACAAATATGAATATGTAAATTTTCTATGTATCGTAACAATCTTTCGCATATGGTATAAATTTGGGCTTGGGATTAATGCTATCCTACTTATTCAGCGGCGGTACGTCCGGTTTTAATCCTTAAAAAAAGGAGCAACTTTAAAGTCAATAAAATCATACAATTTCGCTGGAGTTGCCATTGCTTTACGTAGTTTACTTCCGATATTCCTTAAAGGTTAAAGGTTTTCGGACCCCTTCATTTTTGGCAAAAGAAAGAAGATAACTAATCGATTCCACTCCAAACAGGACCTCCCCTCTCCTTCCTAGTCAGGATCAAGGTCAATTAGAGGCCAGATTGAGAAAAAGTGCATTATCTCGGAGTTTAGGTTTTTTGGGTCGCTGAGTCCGAATAGGATGTCAGTTTGTCTGTATCAGGTTATTTGAAGGTCATCTCAAGGTCATCTCAAGGTTAAGTTGAGAATAGCCAAGCAATTAAGTCTAACCGCCTGTTATACACGTATTTGGAGTTGGTGAGTTCAAATCTGAGGTAAGTTTGTCTGTGTCAGATCATTTGAAGGACATTTTAAGGTCATTTGAAAGTTAATTTATGGAATAAACCTTGGAATAAGTTACCGTTCTTATAGTCGCTAATTTCAGACCCCTTTGTTTTCGACCGAAGCTAAAATTGTCGATACCTACTAAAAAATAATAAAATAATAAAAATGACCTGTACAAATGTTGTAGGATTTCGCATGGGTTCCACATCAGTGATCTCTTGACCTAAAACCTGGCCGATCCTCCATATCTTCGGTTCACATTAAGCAAATCGACACAAATCAAGTAGTGGAGGACTAAATCGTCATATAATTGGACCTTGGATTCAAACTCAGAGACTTCAAAAACGATAATCGATCTATCGGTTTTTTTTCTTGGTCTGGGCTTTAAATGACCTTGAAATAACCCTCAAATGACATGATGCAGACAAACTGACCTCGGATTCGAACTAAGCTATTCCAAAAACCTATCTAGCAGGCGGTTAGACTTAATTGCTTGTTTTTTTTTCAATTTGATCTTGAAATGACCTTGAGACGACCTTTAAATGACCTGATACAGATAAACTAACCTCGGATTTTAACCCAGCGACCCCAAAATCCTGTATAACAGGTGGGTGGACTTGATTGCTCGGGTTTTTCTCAATTTGATCATCAAATGACCTTGAAACAACCTTAAAATGGCCTGATACTGACAAACTAAATTCCGAGATCCTTTGATTTAATGCGCTTTTTCTCAATCTGACCTCTAATTGACTTTGATCCTGACTAGGAAGGAGGGGGAGGTCCCGTTTGGAGTGGAATCGATTAGTTAATATAGTTCAAAAAACGATATGAACCAGGTTCAGAATCAGGTTTAGATTTTCTGTACGATCATTAGTTCCCGTATAATTAATAATCAGTCATTTTTGCTGATAGGTGGAAGCCTGTGGACCTTCTGAAAAGTAAGCAAAAATGTTGAAAATTTTGACCTTCAGTTTCTGAAACTACAAATTTTGGGCTTCAATTTCTTTTTTCTTATTGCTCTAGGAACATTTTTCGCCAATTTACATCCATTTGAAAATCACCTAAAAATTTCAGTGAAATCAAGCATAAAATAAGACCATTTGTCGTTCACTTTAATTTCTGACAACACAGAAATAAGGATCACATAAATATTTTTAAGAAATTCCTTCCCAGTAGGAGATCTTGTATAGAAACGGAATGGAAGAGAAACAACAAAATAAATACAAAAAATGTCGGTGATGATTGAAACGATTAAAGCTCCTCTTTTATTTGTGAGTACTTCTGTCGGTACAAACTGACGCCTTTTTCCCCAATAATATATTTAGTTTAGAAAAAATAAACACGTGTTATTTAAACTTGTTATAAACCTGCTGTCAGTAGGCGTGTCTTGTGTTTCGGTACATTTCGTCGAAACATTTTGTTTATCGTGGTATTGTTAACACATATCCATTTCATTTTCTATCACTCACCGACCTGATGTACTTTTATTGATGAAACTACGCTGCCAAGAAATTTCATTCCTTTTTTTTATACCGCACATAATTTGTATGTAAACAAGGAAACGATAAATTGAAATATAAAATAGGTAAAATATTCAGATGTAAACAATAAAACTGTACATTTAAATTGCAAACAAACAATTTAGCCACATCTCGTATATGGTAGCGTACATTTCTACTGGGGATCCGATGTAGAATCTAGAAAAATACGAAATGATTTGTATCTTATATTCTTCTCATATCGAGGGAAGTGAAACAACGTGCTGTATTAAAATTTTAATAGTGCCATAAAAATAATTTAACGTCGTGGAAATATTCTAATGGTATAAAAACAGTCTGTCGCCCGTCTGTAAAAATAGCGTTTGTTTTGAGTCATATAAATCACTCTGAACGGTGGCCAAGTGTCTATCATAAAAGGGTTTACAAGTTGATCGATTATAAGAGTGCTACCTATTAATATATGATAACCCGATTATTAAAAGGCGTTTCGGATTATTCGTCTGTTAGTCACTGAGTTTAGTGGCCCATTTTTAACACTATTTAAGTATTTACCGTTAACCAAGCGCCAAAGAACATTCCATTAGTTTCAATTGCGCAGGTAGTCATATACATACGTGGTATATCAGCAATTATATTGAATAAATGCTCGATTTTATGTTTTCTGTAAGTAGAATTTATTCGATACTAATTACCACGGACGTAAAATATTCTTTTTAGGCCAGGAAATATAGAGTTGGACGCGACTTTTCGTTTCGGCAAGCTGAATTCATCGCTATAGATGCTAAATATTATGTACAATAACATATTAGTTTCCACAGTCATAAAAATGGGGGGAAGATTGTTTACAGGCTGATTAATTGCATAATTTTTACGTAAATTCAAGTTTTTCGCTTATAACTTTTTTCTGTTCATTTCCACGAGAAAACATTAAGGTACTTTTTTCCGTCTTCAAAAGACCCACAAACAAGCCCTCGAACGTCAAAAAATATTTATAAACTGCGTTATTATTACCAGAACGTTTCGGCATCGCATCCTTTTCACTGTCTAATAACTCACACGAAATCTGGAATCGGTAAGTTGAATAGTTTACAAGTTATGGCCTTATAAACAAATTAACTAATTATTAGTCTGGACGATCCCGAGCATCTTCCACAATCGCACTGATTTTTTCATGGTAGATTTTATAATAATACATTGAAATCATTCTTTTTTAAATTTCAAATTTGCAACCTGGAAAGTTTTTTTATTTTTTAGCCTCAGTTGCAAAATGAAATATACGACGTATGTGCGTTATATAGTTGTATATTATTACATATTCGGAAAGGTTATGAAAAGAGCTTTAAGTTAAAAAATAAATCGTCAAGATTCGTTGAAAAACAACGGAGTTACAGACTGTCAAATATATTATTTTCAAGCGAATTTCGCTTTTTTACCGACAGGACTATGAATATTATCGTCATTTTCTTCGGACTCGCTGTCGTTCGCTTCCCCCACCCTTCCGCCGCGCCACGGCTTGCCGAAAAATCAAGCGACCCACTGACTTTTGACAATATTTTTTATGCACTTAACACAAATAAAATATTTTTATCTGGTAAAGTACTCAGGTTGCCGGTTATGACAGTATTTTTTTTTGCCGCTACCAACCTAATTTGTTTAACAATAGGCCGTCAATTTTGACAGTCTGTAACTCCGTTGTTTTTCAACGAATCTGTACGATTTTTTTTTAACTTAAAGCTCTTTTCATAAGCTTTTCGAATATGTAATAATATATAACTATATCTCGCTCGTGCGTCGTATATTTCATTTTGCAACTAAAAAATTTAAAAAATTTTCAGGTTGTAAATTCGAAATTTAAAAAAATGATACATTTCAATGTATCAATGAAATCTACCATGAAAAAAATCAGTGCAATTGTGGAAGATGCTCGGGATCGTCCAGACTAATAACACAGATCAACATTTAGGGACAATAGTCAGACGTGACTATAGGGTTTTTTTGGGTCGCTGATCACGAATCCGAGGTCGGTTAAGCTTCATTACATCAGGTTCAAGGTGATTTGAAGGTCAAATCAAGAAATAACCTCAAAAAATTCATGCTTATGATTTAGAGGTCACTGAACCCGAATCCGAGGTTTGTTTACCCCTACGATACACCCAAGAGGTAATTCAAGGTCATTCACGAAGTATTTTGGATAGGAAAGTTAAAACCAGTCTGAATAATCTGAAAAAAGTAGTCTGAATGTTTTTGAGGTCATTGAACGCGAACTCAAGGTTATTTAAGCTCCATCACGTCAGGTTCAAGGTGATTTGAAGGTCAAATCAAGAAATGACCTCCAAAAAATGTGAAAAAATTCATGCTTATATTTTAGAGGTCACCGAACCCGAATCCGAGGTTTGTTTACCCCTACGATGCACACTAGAGGTCATTCAAGGTCATTTCAAGCTCATTCATGAAGTATTTTGGATAGAAAAGTTAAAATCAGTTTGAAAAATCTGAAACAATTCGTCTGAATGCTTTTGAGGTCACTGATTGCGAATCTGTTTTTACTGTTTTACTGTTACTGTTTACTGTTTTCTCGTGGAAATGAATGGAAAAATGTTATAAGCGAAAAACGTGAATTTACGTAAAAATTATCCAATATTTAGCATCTATAGTGATAAATTCAGCTTGCCGAAAAAAAAAATCGTGAAATGGCCATTTCTCAGCTCTTTTTCCTGGCCTATATTACTTCTTTAAATGAATTCTCTATTGGAATCTAATACTTACTAGGTATGTTTCGAAAGAAGGCACGAGAAGGCGATAGCCAGACATTCATTTACACCCAGCGTTTCTGAAACAAAAAAACAGAAACCTATGAAATGGTCGTCGAGATAACAATTAATCAAAGTGTGAGGAGTGTGAGGTGGGATTATACGAAACACCCCGTGCGCACGTGTGACCTCTCCGGATTCCAAAACGAAACGACAGATCAACTTTGGTGACCGAGGGTATATATCAAATGAAAAACTCAATAGCACCAGCTATATATAATAACGTAACAGTGTGTTTGTTGTGTATTGGGCATTGTCCCTATACGAACCTTGAACCCACATACAAGTGGGCGCAGCTGACTTGTTCTAATACATTTTTCTTTTGTTTTCAATGTGAAAGCGAAAACGAGGTGTAGAATAATTTTTGACAACCTCAAGTGGCTTCGAGGAACTGCTTTTATAAAGGAATGTGATTAATTAACGAATATAAAATACATACGCGTTTTGTTTATTAAATGGTCCTTCGTACCGGATCTGAATATTAGTAATAGGTACGTTTGGCTAAAAATGTACAAATTGGGTGGTTTTACCTGACCTGTCAACGTAGTGAATAAAGTTGAAGTGTCTGCCGTGAGTATGAATCACTTAGACTGCTACCTAGTCTAAAATTATGAAAACTGTCCCGATGCGTATTTCTGTGTACTTATTTTTATCCCGTCTCCTTTGTCAATGTCACGGTGGTAGTGCGTTGTCCGAATTATTTTGACGAATGATCCTGAAAAAAAATTAACTACTAAACGCTGCCCCATTCAAGTCCAGTGACGCGACCTCTGGCCCTATCCGTTTCGTTTGTAATTTGTTTTATATCCGAACCGTAAATATCGCATTTTAATTTGCGTCTAATTTGAAACACATGTTCGTCTTCGCTTTCTGATTGCGCCGATAAGGTGCGCGACGTCGAAACAATAAAAAAAAAGAATCGAAAGTTTCGCTCCTCCCAAAATATTTTAATACAAATTTAAATCCGGACATTGATTGATTTGGGTCGTAATGAATGACACCGCATATATGTTCGAAATGGGGGTTGACCTGACCAGGCGTTTAGTTTTTTAACCGCCATTTTTTATTTGGAAAAGGAGTAGGCTGGCGACTGGAACGATGATTGAATGTTCTCCCATATGGGTCTACCATTAATTCACATTAGCTCCCATTTCTGCATGTTGTATATAAGGACTGGTCCAAGAAAGGTGCTAATTACAGAGCCCCATAAAAGAAAGTGGTTTGTTCCAAACATTAGACCCGTTATGTATCTGGGGCAGAATCGCGAAAAACCGCCCTTAAATAAAGAAAATACCGAAAATCTCGCTTTGGCGCAATCAGCATTGGGTGTAATTATTGCAGAAACTAAAAATAACTGCAGGATCAGTTTATTCACCAAAATAGAGTCAATATCGTAATTGTAAAAACTTTGTAGTTTCCGAGTAAAAATTTTTTGAAGTTGTAGTATTTTCAACCGTTACATCGTTCGGCTGCTGTAGTCTCTAGCGTCATTCAAAAATACAATATCTATGTATGTTTTCAGTCACGAAATTTGAATAATTCCAAATATTTTGAATATTCACCACCAAGAACGGCGGTGACAACATTTTTAACATTAAGGCGATGTTTCGCATTGTATTAGCTATGTCCTGTACAAATTTAGTTTCGTACAACTCTCTCGGTTTCAAAAATACAGTACCTATGTATGTTGTTTTCAGCCACGAAATATGAATAATTCCAAATATTTCAAATTTTCACCACCAAGAACGGCGGTGACAACATTTTTAACATTAAGGCGATGTTTCGCATTGTATTAGCTATGTCCTGTACAAATTTAGTTTCGTACAACTCTCTCGGTTTCAAAAATACAATACCTATGTATGTTGTTTTCAGCCACGAAATATGAATAATTCCAACTATTTCGAATTTTCACCACCAAGAACGGCGGTGACAACATTTTTAACATTAAGGCGATGTTTCGCATCGTATTAGCTATGTCCTGTACAAATTTAGTTTCGTACAACTCTCTCGATTTCAAAAGTACAATATCTATGTATGTTTTCAGCCACGAAATTAGAATAATTCCAAATATTTCGAATTTTCACAACCAAGAACGGCGGTGACAACATTTTTAACATTAAGGCGATGTTTCGCATTGTATTAGCTAGGTACTGTACAAATTTAGTTTCGTACAACTCTCGGTTTCAAAAATACAGTACCTATGTATGTTGTTTTCAGCCTCGAAACTTGAATAATTCCAATTATTTCGAATTTTCACCACCAAGAACGGCGGTGACAACATTTTTAACATTAAGGCGATATTTCGCATCGTATTAGCTATGTCCTGTACAAATTTAGTTTTTTTCCTGGCCTACTTAGCCATGCTGCTCTTTCAGTATCATTCATTTTTGTGATCCTGTATTTATTTCTAGGAAGACCCCTCACATTTTAATTCATAGTGAGTAGTTTTTGTGACCAATATAACGACGCATACAAAACTAGCAGCCAGAGCCGTCATATTGAATACATAATAGATAAGAATTAAATAAATACGTGAAAGCTGGTTCAGACATAATTTTGTTTTAACTAATTTTGACTAATTAACCAATTTTAGCACTCGATACAGGAGTTAAGGTCATCAAATAAACTTTAAATACGTGGAATCCGTCCGGATTATTCCTATGGCGAAGTAATAAGTAAAACTAATTTTAATAAATTTAAAGGATTAATTAAATTTATCTAAATGGGTTTTCCGTACATTAGTTTATCGCTTATGTTTATTTTGTGGACCTGGAAAGCACATTCGTGGTGTTGTAAAAAGAACTGGATAAAATAAAATTAAATATCTCAGAACGTTATAGTATATACAAAATTAATAATAGACTTGGGTATTATTTTTTTCATATCATTTAGGCCAGATTTATATTTTGTTTAATTTATAGAGACAATTTTTTATGGGATACATTTGATGTTAGCATAAACAAGCTTCTAATTAAAATACACTTGGGATATTATTTCAAAACGAATCTGTGTAATTATCGGAATGTCACTGGAAGGACCGCAGGGGTCAATGTTTAAATGCTTGTTCCGACCCTACTTCTCCACCGAATCTCTTAGAGAAATCTAAATCTGGTCGCAACATCTGACACAACAGTATTAATTTCGTGTTATTTCGTAAATAAAAAAAAACGTAAAGACCCATAATGGGTGGCCTTGGCTGGAGGACTATCAGCCACATCTCTGCCGGTGATTAAATGTCCCCTACCGAGTAAAGGTTTCACTTCAAAGGAACTTTGTTTGTTCTCCTTTAGACATATGTAAAATAAGGGACTGAATTGATAATAAGGGTGCCTTGGTTTGGCACTTTCTCAACCAAAACAACATAAATTACATCCTTATTCTATTCACGGATTAGGGTGTTGGTAGATTAGAAAAAATTGATTGTCCCTGGAAGAACGAAGATTGAAACTTTAAAATAGTGAGGCAATTACATTTTCCCGAAGTGATGTTATGACATAAAACAACATTATGTCATCACCAGTTTTTGCTCGGTGCAACCGAGTTATTTTCCACAGTTTCAGGAATATCAGCGGAGTTTCCCAGGAACCACTGAATGCTAAACATTTTTTTAAGTGTGTTTTAACACATCTGGTAAATACTCGCTCTACAACCCATATAGCCATATGTTAAAATAGTTTCTATTATATAATATCGTGTTTATTCAGCTTCCTTGGACATTTGTTAATACCGAAACCTGATGAGCAACACATTCTTCCTTCCAGTCATTTACATTTAAATTGTCGTATAGGGTGTCACTGAACGAATAATCATTCGACGGACTTCGTGGATTCTTTATCAATTAGGCAATACGCACCTCATGGTGTGCGATGAGTGTTTAACAGCGGCCGTAGTACGGTCGATACGTAAGAATGCTATTATATAAGACAAAAGCTCAGGAAGATGTGACTGCGCAACATTGGAGTTAGTTGCCGCTACAGATTTACTGTAGCTACAAGTTTTGCTTGGTCCAGGCCTGCAAGTTCTATGAGGCCTCATAAAAAAAAAAAAAAAAAAAAAAAGTGACCACCGACTTGTCAAAATATCAGAATATTTATTTCTCTCCAGGGTAAATACCTCGAGGAGGATTTAAACAAGAAAGTCATAGAAAAGTATTTTAAAAATGAAATAAGTATAACATTTAAAGAATTTCACTCATGTTTTGAAAATTTTTTTGCAACGTCATTTTGCGTTAGAATACTGCCGTTTCGCTTAACACATATTTGTGTCCGTCATTTTTTTACACGTAAAAATCTAAGCAACGGGTTAGATCGAGCTTCTCATGAATCAATCTACGTTTTATTAGACATGGATTATTTACCGATTAGAGGAGGTTATTATGACGACTATAAATACTATTATTGGTAAATCTCGTTTTAAGCGACCGTAAAACTTGGAAATAAAACTGATTGATAAGCCAATAAAAAAACAGCCTTTGGCGGTATCTTATTTAATTTTTCTAGGCGGCGTAAGCATACGTTATCGAAATTTATTCGTCTCCAGAATTGTATTTATAAGGTGTCAGCAGCTTTTTAATTAAAAATGTATTAGTATCGATTCCTTTCCAGCCAACATTGTAGTTAACATGAAAGAAGCGGTTTCGAGCGGTATCTTTTTTTGATTTGATGCGACCTTTATTGTCCTGTTTAAATCACTCCAAATGTGTTTAATAGATGAGGTACAATGGATACAGCAAACGGCTTTTCTATCGGGGCTTTATTTGGTAATAGACCAGGGCGGATCTGTCGAAATATCCCACTTCTTCGATGTAAGAGGGGGCAAGCTAATTTTTGCTGGAATACCTTCAGCACAACTCACATAATAATAGTGTAGATCCCTAGATCTGGACGAGGTCCGGAACATAATCAAAATTGCAAAAATGTTTAAAAATTTTAAAAAATGCTAAGTTTTTTACTTATATCTTGGAACCTATGCATTTTGGAAGAATATTGAAGAGGAAAAAAAGTTGTAGAATTGAAGTTTT